AAGGGTACTTCCCTTTTATAGGAAACGTAAGAAGTCTGATTCGAGTGGCAAACGTCAAAGGTAAATCAGGAATCGATAGTTTTCTGATATATTTAAGTGCTGGCAATTCACGTGGGACCAAATTAACCATGGACACGGATGAATCTTATACGCTCGAGCTTATTTTAAAGGGTAAGATTTTGGAAGCTCGGATAACAGGAAAAAGCTATTACGGTGTGCGCCACGGCCTTGAGACACTTGGACAAATGATCTGGTGGGACGAGAGCGCCGAAAGGCAAGGTTCTCTACGTGTACTCTCTCGTGCTTCGATCGAAGACAAGCCAGTTTTTTCATATCGTGGTCTACTCGTCGACACAGGGAGACAATTCTTCGGGATCAACCAGTTAAAGAGGCTGATCGACGGTATGGCTGCCTCGAAACTGAACACCTTTCATTGGCACCTAACGGATTCTCAGAGCTTCCCCTTTGACTCGGTACAGTTTCCGGAAATGGCGAGATGGGGCGCTTACAGTGGCGATCAAGTTTACACGCCGGATGACATTAAAGACTTCGCTGATTATGCAAGAATTCGAGGAGTCAGGGTGCTCGTTGAGATAGACTCTCCTGCTCATGCTGGTGCTGGTTGGCAATGGGGTGGGTGGATCATTGATGTTTCTTTCGTATTTTAATTCTAATTTGATAAAAGAATGTTCGATTAAGTAGATTGAAATTATTCGATAGGAGCGGAACATGGGTATGGTGAACTAGCACTTTGCGTAGACCAACAACCTTGGACGTCTTACTGCGGTGAACCAAACTGCGGTCAGCTAAATCCGATAAACGAGCATTCGTATAGGATACTAGAGGGTCTCTATAGGGAGTTGTTAGACCTGACTGAAGTACGGGATATTATTCACCTTGGGGGAGATGAGGTGAATCTTGATTGTTGGGCACAGTACGGAAATATAACCGCGGCGATGCAAGCACAAAATATGACCGATCATCATGCTATGTGGGCGGAATTCGAAACGAAAATGTTCCAACGATTGGTTAAGGCAAATCATGACGAGATACCGAAGGCAGTCATTTTGTGGAGTTCTCCACTCACGAAACGTCCATATATTACGACGTATTTTGATCCAAAGATACATGTCATTCAATCTTGGGGTGGTAGCAATTGGCTTGAAACATCGGATCTTTTAGAAGATGGTTTTCGAGTGATATTGTCACACGTGGACGCTTGGTACTTGGATTGCGGATTTGGTAGATGGAGAGAAACCGGTGAAGCTGCTTGTGGCGAGTATCGTACCTGGCAAACGGTTTACAATCATAGACCTTGGAAGGAATATCCTCAGCAGCAGATGAATCTAATTCTCGGTGGTGAAGCTGCAATTTGGAGCGAGCAAATGGGTCAGGCGTCCTTGGGACCACGAGTATGGCCAAGAGCATCGGCTCTCGCCGAAAGATTATGGTAATTTGTCATTATTTTGGATCTGGTTGTCACAAGCATTGTCAACTTCATATCTTCGTCGTGTTATCCCATTATTATTATTATTATTATTATTTTTTTTTTTTTTTTCTCTTTTTTTTTTTTTTTTTTTTTTTTTATTATTATTGTAGGAGCGATTTACCAACCAATGGTTATTCCACCGACGAAGGTGTGTACACGAGGTTAGCAGCTCACGTTGAAGTGTTAACGAGTCGAGGCATCAAGACGGAAGCCATGTGGCCACAATGGTGTTCTCAGAATCCCGGCAAATGCCTCTGACCGATCGTTAGATGATTGAGAACGAGCATTATTCTATTACATGGATCGTGGAGATCAATTGCGACGAGAGAACGCTAGAAAAACCAAAACGGATGGCCATCCCTCTCAACGGAACGTCGATAAATGAAAGAAATTAAAATTGTCTGAGTAGGTCGCTATAATTTTCCAATAAGACATCGATCGAGTCGCATCGAAGTGATACTCGTAACTGCCATGAATACTCGTGTTGCCTACGATATTGCTGCACGACGTGACGATGGAACGACGATCCGCGATAATAATGGCCTCTTAGAAAATAAGAACGGATAAACCTTGACGTTTTTTGAAAGATCAAGCAAGACTAAGAAGAATTCTTCTTCCGGTCGCGCGCGCACTCTTAACGGACCGGTACCTATCGATCGATTTCGAAGGAACGTCGCGTTAATCAGCAAAATTCTATGATTCTGTTATCTTTTTTGGATATTTTAAAGGGTTTGGAAAACATACATATGTATATGTAGAATGAAAGTATAAGATATATTTTAAAAATATAGTTACACTGATTGATTTCAAAATTATCTAATCACACCTTAAACGAGATAACAGTGAATGATTTTATAAGATATATTTCTTCGATGGTTATCGTTTATAGTGAAAGTATTTTTCTTTTTCTTTTTCTTTTTATTTTTTTTTTTTTTTTTGTTCACGATACACCGAGCACAGGAGAAAAAACAAGGATAATGTAGTTTCTTCGAATTAACGGATCGTTTAATTATAAGAAACGAATAGAAAGTACTATGCAGTACTGAAAAGAAGTCTCGCGAGATGGTACAAGGAAAGGGAGGGGGGATAACCTGACGTTCCATTCCATCTGGACTTTTGATATTCCCGTAATCCCTGCAGTACGTCTTGTTTAAGGAAAGATTTAAAATATGAAAAGATCCTTTAAGATGAACGTGAGATAAGCTTTGTGTGTACATAGTATCGCTGTATGTAAGTGTATAACGTGGTATGCGATGTTATTGTATTAAGATTTAGATTAATCATGCTGTGGTGAGGTGATGAGAGAAGTAAAGGAGAGAAGGAAAGAATGGAAAGAAGATGTAACGTGACAAGACGAAACGTTTTTTTTTTGTTTTTTTTTGTTTTTGTTTTTTTTTTTTTTTATATATATACACACCGGGTGTCTCCTTTTAATATTTTTTTTTCTGTTCGAAGTGCCTTTTAAGCTGTTCAATCGTCTCGCGCATCGCGATCTCGTTATAGTGCGTGCGCGTGACGATCGCGTGTACGTTCCTACATTCTGATAAGGAAAGGTGGAAGATCTAGAAAGATGACAGGAATGGGCACGTAATGTACGAACGATATAGTGCACACCGAACATTTATCTATCATAAGGTTACTGGACCGACGCATTGCACTAGCTATCTCGTTTTAAATCTTGATTCTTCCTTGTTTAGATTTTAAAATTCAGATAAATGAAAAATTTTTAATAATATTTGCAAGTTTATCTTTACATTTCCCACACGAGTTTTAATCTTTCGTCATATTTATACGTCGTTTGATCGTTAGATTCTCAGATCATTGATATCTACGAAGGATCAATTATATAAAACGATCATAGCTTCGAAGGTCAGTTGAAATCTTTGAAAAAGGTACTTTCGTCCATTGACTTAAATTTATACAAAGTGCTCGTGTTAGCTTTGTTAGCCAAATCTCGATGAAATATATATACCAAATGTCAAGCATGTTATTTGTTGGTGAATCGAAAAACTTTTTTAACTAATTGTTAGAAATCAGTTCGAGATACCAATGTAACAGAAATTGCTTGTATGTAGGTACTAGAGAACAAATTGATAATAACGTCGCTAATGTTTAGCGTGAAAATATATTGTGTTGATATCTTTTACTAATGTTTTAGGATAAATGTTGAGAAGGAAAGATTGGATGCAGATTTACTTATAAAATAATAGCGAACATTATATTAAAAAAGACCATATTGATGATGAATACGTTGAGATTTTAGATCCTTTTATCGTTTTAAGACAGCTTCGCTGCATTATTAGAGACGCTCTATTTGCATTGGTCGAGGCCGGTGACAAGAAATCGAAACGTGAGTTTTATTTTATGATGTAGTTAATTAATTAAAAAAATTCGAATTATTCCGACTAATGAACGTGGGACAAATAGAAATAAGAATGACTACTTGCGTATGTTTCTTATTGTCCCTTTTATAAGCACAATATAGAATTCTGTTGTCCGACAAACAGAGTCACGACTGTTCTTATTGAAAATAAGATTCATTTTTATGATAAATATTTAAAATATTACAAATAAACGAATGTAAAAGGCGATTCTTACGACCGGCCATCCCGTGTTCAGTTTCCCGAGTGAAATATAACGAAACGAGAATAGCGTTGTAGTTTTTAAGTGTTTTTAGGAATGGTATAATATTCGCAAATGTTTAGTAAGAGAAAGGATCCGTGTTATATTCTTATACCGGTACTTCTTCTTTCTCCCTATATTGCGATATCGATGGTGAATTTAACGTGTGAAAGTATTATAAATATCGTGTACAGATACGATCAGAAAAAAGTTGTACTCGTAGAAAAACGAAAAGAGAAGGAGATAATAATAATAATAATAGGAATTAATTAAAAAAAAAGAAAAAAAGAAAAAAGAAAACCGGTGAAAAAAAAAAAGAGAAAAGACAAGAAAAGAAAAGAAACACGAAAGTACTGTACTTACTGTTACTTACTGACATTGATAATCGTAAGCGAAATAATTAAGACAGGTCCTTGACTTTACCCAATGAAATTATTCGCGACGATTTAGCTAAACGAATGAAATATATCGTTCGATGTTTTCCTACTCCGCCTCGTTATGGAATGAGAAGATTGGGAGAAGGATGGAGAGCATTAGATGAAACTATAGATACAGACACAAATAGTAATAGTTAATATATTATAAAGAAAAGAAATCATGCGTAATATTGATGGGGACGTATTCCTGCGTTTATACGATTATTGGTTTTCAATGGCAAAAATGTGCATATACAGAATGATCGTTTCAAGAAAGATATACTCTGTTACAAAATGCGAATAACAAATGTTTAACATAAACTGAATTTTAATACGAGCCTTTTGTAGATTTGTAACTTTTATTCCCGTCCTACATATATGAAATCTAATTCAATAATTAATTATGTTTGTATTTTGATAATTATCTTAATTTTTTGTTCTTTTTTTTTTCTTTTTCTTTCTTTTTTTTTTTTATTCTAATCAACTATGATAATTCGCGAAACTGATTTGTATGTATATAATTCTCATTCGAATTGATCTTTTAATTCGCTCTTTTATATTCTTACATGGTCGATAAATCAGTAAAAGATCATTCCTATTTTATCAAGAGCTATCGGTAACTTTTAGAGTTATTCATTAGACTGTTGGTAGGGTAGAAATTTCATACGAAACTTCTATCGATAAGATGGTAAATAATAAAAAATGAATTGTTACATTGCAATGTAATAAATTGAATGATAATAATAAATTGTTATTTTCTTCTTTTATAAGATATGTGATATTAATCAATAACAGTGTTTTGTGTATAAAATGTATGAGTACATCAAAGATATTGAATATCCTGTAATATGACACATAATCAATATCAAAAAATATACATTTAAAGGAAGTAATAGAAGCACGTGGCGAAAGGTTTGATCGATCTCATGAAAATTGATTTATTTAAGTACTTTTGAAAATAACAAGTACTTATTCACTGTCCATAAAAATTCCATTGTGCGATTGCTGTTATTTTGAAAAGTTTATGTTTGCGATGCAAAGGAATAACAATCACGTGTAAACGATGTGCAATTTAATTGGATTAAAATGCTTTTAGAAAACTACTTGACAAAAATATACATAAATACATACATGGATATTATGTTAGTCGATTGATACGCGCGCGCACTTTCACGAAGGGATATCGAAATTGTCGAGCGGCTCAAACACTCGAAATCCGTGCAGCGGGATAGTTCAACCTCCATTCTTTATCTTCACAAACATTAATTAAAATCATGGATAGTTCATCAAGAAAAGAACGAAAAATAGATTACGTAGATATTCCAAAGATTTATCAAATAGACGTGTACGTAAATATTTTATTTATATTTGAAAACAATTCATATTATAGATATTATTTCGTATAATCTTATTTTAGAATGGCGGAAGAAATGTTGGAACGATATTTGACTGAACAAAAGGACATTTGCGAGCGACTCTTCAAAAATGGTGATTCTTGAAAAATTTACATTTTGTTATATTTGTTATATTATATATATATATATAAATTAAAAAAGAAAATAAAAAACCGTGATGACACCTGTCAACAAAAATATTATACACGTGCAGGTAGTCAAAGTGAGGATGAAACAGGAATGAAAATCGATAAAGAAATTTTGCAATGTCCTCCGACCTTCGATGGATTACTGTGTTGGCCACGTACACTTGCTTCTCGAACAGCTATCCTTCCTTGTCCACCGGGATTAATTTTAGGAACGTCTTACGATTTACTTTTTTCTTCTTCAACACACTCTTTGAAAGAATCTACGGATATGTTGAACAACGAATCGAATATTTTGAAGGAATGGATTACTTCGTCCTTTAATACTTCTGCGATAGCGAGTAAATTATGTCTTGCTAATGGTCAATGGTATATAAATGATCAAAGTGTCGCTTGGAGTAATTATACTCTTTGTATACGCTCGAATAATGTAGGTACAGGATATTTTTGGAAATATGTGAAATTGGAAAATACTTCGTTAGTGGGCGTAAGAATTTATATTTCTTTTATACAAATTAAAAATTTAAACACGTGAATGAATTTTAATTTTTAATTGTTATATATATATTTCTTTGTTCTATTTTTCTTTTTTATTATATAGAAATGGTTACCGATAATTAAAACGGTGTCTCAAATCGGATATGCCTCGTCCTTCGCAACACTGCTCGTTGCTATGACCGTTTTCACTGTACTCAGGTTCGTATATATTTTTCAGAAAATTTTTTAATTAAAAATTTATCTCGGACAGTATGTCGTGTCTTTATATGTGATAGAAAACTTAGAAATCCGAGAAACAGACTTCATATGCATTTATTCACGTCGTTCATGATGAGAGCGTTTATGGCTCTTCTCAAGGAATGGGTCTTTGTCGATGGTATAGGTTTGGCATGGGATATAGTTTTAGCTAATGGTGATGGTGTTTTAATAAGAGAACGAAACGTAAGTATTAATGAAATTGATTCAGAGATTTGTGATTTTTTTTTGTTTTTATTTTTTATGTTTAAAAATAGTAATTATATACATTGTTAATGGATTTTCAAACGTAGACGTGGGCATGTAAAATTATTACAAGTATGTGGCAGTACTTTATCGTAGCCAATTATGCTTGGATACTCATGGAAGGACTTTATCTTCACAATTTAATATTCTTGGCACTTTGTACCGATACTACTGCGATTACTTCTTACATACTTTTAGGATGGGGTAAGAAATTTGTATTATTTATTAAAAAAATATATATACATATATATATTTTTTTATTTATTATCAATTATAATTTTTTGATAGGATTACCGGGCTTGATAGTTATACCATGGGTAATAATTCGTGCAACTGTCGAAGATACTCTTTGTTGGACCACTCATCATAATCCTTCCTTCTTTCTTATCGTAAGAATACCAATAGTGATATCCATTTTGGTATGTCTATTAAATAATAGTCAATTATAGAAGTAGAATAATTTTTTTTACTGAGGTATTACTTTTTTATTTTTGTTATATTATAGTTCAATTTTGGACTATTCGTTAATATCGTTCGAGTGCTTCTCATAAAATTGAAGACGTCTGTACATTTGCAACATAAAAAAATGCAGTATAGGTGAGTTATCGATTATTATTATCAAGGAATTAAATTTGATAATATTTCATTGAATCTTTGATTAAATATATTTATAATCGATAATATTAATTAAATAGAAGATGGGCAAAATCGACTCTGATTTTGGTACCATTATTTGGTGCTCATTATACCCTTTTTTTGGGACTTTCTTATCAAAAGGATAATTATATTGAATTAGTATGGCTATTTTGCGATCAACTATTCGCATCTTTTCAGGTATTTATTATTACGATAATATTGACTTTTCTATTACAAGTTTATGACTCACTTATAATATGATTGATTTTATCTTTACTTTCAGGGAGCGTTCGTAGCTCTGCTTTATTGTTTACTAAACGGTGAGGTAAGAGCAGAAGCTAGACGAGCATGGAAGGCTCGACGTTCGAAAAAGGATTCTCTTACACCAATTCATCGTGATTTTTTCAAAATCTCACAGAATCAAACGCGATGCGTTTTTCGTCGGCACGATTGCGATGATTTGAATTTTTCAGAAAGTACAACGAAACATTTATCCACTGTTTGAAAGTAATATACGTAACAAGTTTTATTTACATATCTAAATCTAGTTATTATGCTAGATATGTAGTAGAGAAATTACACGTATATAAAAATATCACGATTTTTAGTATATAAAAATTCATCTAAAAACGTGATATAAAGTTACATGTAACGTTGTAGAATGATTATTATTCTTATTATTATTATTGTTATTGTTTAAAGATATCGATTAATTAGATCGATTTTGTAGCAAAGTTAGCTTGATTTGTAAAATTGTATACCTATAATTTCTGTACCTATATACATATTTACAATTCAGCGTGTATTTCACGTTTCTGTTTATTTGCGATATTTCTCTTCGATGAAGAAAAGAAAGAAAAATAAAAAAAATGATTATTATTAGAAAAGTGATTAGAATGGATGAAAATTATTTGTAGCATGATTTGTAGATATACAAAAGCGTAAAGTGGAATAAAGAAAAAGGGGTTATTTGTAGCCGGGAAATAACGAGGTGTGAACTATCTCATGACACGAAAAGAATTTGAAAAGGTGATGATGACTTCAGCACGTGCCGTGTAAGCGTCCTCAATTTTTGATATAGGAAAAGGGTGCGTTAGGATGTGCACGTGTTTGTTTGACTCGACACGTGTCTTGACCAACCTCAGTAATTTTTAATTTTTTTTATGGGCAAACCACAACACACAAATATGCATATCGTCTCATAATATACTTTTGTCTTGTTTAAAGTTTGTTTAATTCTTTTCTTTTTTTTTTTTTCTTATACAATTTTGATCAGATATTAAATAGAACAAGATGAGAAAAAAAGTCTAATAGCTAATTAATGGAATATATTGATTAATGCTTGTATTAAATTTTTATTATTATTCAAACAAGTTTTGAAATTATTATTAGAGAAGGTACATATATCAAATAAAAAAAACGAGCCAGAGAATCGTAGAGGGAGAACGTATCTACGCAACGAGTATGGATTTCTTCGAAGGATCAGGTGGCCAACGTGGCACATCTGCGTCCATAGTAATAATACTGAGAATCTACTCGTAAAACGACAGCTCCTTGAAAGCTCGATAAAAGAAATGCCGCTGTTGTCGTTTAACACAGTTATTTTAGTAAAATGATCACGATCGAAAATCATACTTTCAATGTTATTGCATAACATCTTCGATTAAAACTATCGACGTCAGGAAATTTGTCGATGTTATTTAGATCATTTAAATAAATTTAAATCGATATTGTTGTAAAGAAAATTTGAACAAAAATTAATGCGATTGAAATTTGTATGCGTGTGTTTCGCGCGAATATTTTTCCAATACAAGCAAATAATTTTCTATTTGACAAGAAAATTGAGAATCATCATTGCAACTTTAAAAGTAGAATGGCGTATGGAACGAAAGAAGGCGTGTACTCTCACTAGATTCTCGGATTCCCATTGGAAACCAAGGGATGCTGCGTTTTCCCGACGAATAGGAGAGAGTTCAAAGATGGAAAGAGGGAGAACAGGGAGAGGCGTGGTTCGATAAGGAAAAGGGGGAGTTAGGAGTTGAAGAGAGAGATATATATAGTGAGAGAGAGAGAGAGAGAGAGAGAGAGAGAGAGAGAGAGAGAGAGAGAGAGAGAGAAGGAGGAAGGGTGAGTCTGAATTGAACATTTTCGACGACCGATCGTAGAGATTCTGGTCCAGCTAACTTTGCTCGACTATCTTCTAGTAGTCTTCATCGAGTTCGTTGTACGAAAGGTTTTTCTTTTATTTGAGTTTAGTGCATTGTGTCTTTAAGATAATAAAGTGATTGTTTTTCAAACAATTTATTGAAAGATTTTAGTGAAAGTGACGTTTTAATTGGACTACAAGTTAGCACAATTTCGTTCATTCACACAGGTGATTATCAATAATAATGATCGCTTAGATATTTTATTGATTTAATTTATTTATAATTTGTTTTTATGATTTTTAAACGGCGTTTATCAAAATTCGCAAAGATTTCTATTTTAATGTGATTTTAATTAATCAAAAAATATTTACTCATACACGTCCTTCTTCTTATTATCATCTAATTTCTCTTATGATCATTTACACATATTTTGTAATTAAATGATTAGTATCACGCGAAGTAATACATATTGAATGAGTGATAAAAAAGAAAATTTGTAATAAAACGCGATGAAAGTCGAATGTGAACTGATCACTTTAAATAGATAGAAAAAGAAAAAAAAGAAAAGGAAGTAAAGCTCAATCCGCACCGAATCTCTTGAATTATTGAAGAAAGATCCGAAAGATTCGGACATACGAATTGGCTGTTTACCGCGAAAAAATCGTCTCGAACGAGACGCGAGGGTTGTTTTTTGGTAAATAGTTAATGAAACCTTTGGCCTTTTTTTCTGTCCTCTACCGTTAACGTTAGATAAAACGAAAGGAGAAACGAGGAGAAAGGAAAACGTCGCACGTTTTTCATCGTTCTGAATTATACAGTTTTTGAGATCTTCGAAGACCGAACGAATCTCAATCGAATCTCGCAAAGGACCGTTCTTCCAAACGAATCTAGCAGTGAGAAATTTAAGATACCCTTGAGACTTCCATTGCTCTTCTTTTCCCTTCTACGATCGAATCTTCGCTTTTCCACACATTTATTCACCCCACGACGATTTTTCGGCAAATATTTGACGAACTCGTTTACCTCAAGTTCTTCGCTAACTATCCAATATTCTATATCCGAATCCTTTCTTAGTTCTCTTCTGATGAAATTAATAGATCAGTTATTTAATTATTTGCTCGTATTAACGATATTAACGATTTGACGTATTTCACGAAGATTTTGATATTTGATCTTGAAAAATAATTTATTATACAACAAATTGTTGTGTTATACAACAAAAAAATATTATACAAAAAATACAATAATTTATTATACGAACAAGTTTATTATATCTAATCATTCGATTGGACAGTAATTAGTTATTATTATATTATAAAACATTATTTATTATTATTACTTATTATCAATTACGATATTATTTATTGGTTAACGTCCACAGTATATTTTATTGAAAATTTGAAAAATTTCAAGAAACTTTGATGTTATTTAATTATGTATCCATTTTATTGAAAATTCTGACATTAATTACCGTTCAGCGTAATAAATAATTTTGATAGATTTTTCTAAAAGTTAAGATTTAAAGAAAGCTTGAAAAAAACGAAAAATCTGAAAAAAACTTTCTCGATGATCAGATTTCAATCGATGATGGAAAGAGGTGCGTTGCTACCGATCACCGACAGTTGCAAGCAAAATATTCAAATACACAGAAGGTAAGAACGTGTTACAGGTGTCGTTTGGCTTTTTCATTCCTTCCTTCGTACTTGACTGAGAAAGAGAAAGAAAAAGAGAGAGAGAGAGAGAGAGAGAGAGAGAGAAAGAGAGAGCGAGAGAGAAAGAGAGAGAAAAAGGGTGATAATTCTCAAGTTTTAACAAATGAGGAAGTCATAACGATTTTTGAAATTTTCGATCGGAGACAGAGAAAATTCTATGGCGAATGGTGGACATGGTGTCGTTGTCAATGGTGTGGGCGGTGGTGCTCCAGGTTCAGGAACCCTTTCACGGGAAGAAAGGCGCCGGCGTCGAAGAGCCACGCAGAAATATCGAACGGCACACGCGACGAGGTAAGGCCTTTTTCTCTTTCTATTTTATCAATTTAGTGTTCTATTTATTTCAAATATTTCATTAAAATTATAAAATTATTTGCGAAGAAAAAATTTGGTAATCAATTTAAAAATGTGTATTCGCATATATATTAATATGTAAATATATCTATATGATCTATATTAAAAAATTTAATTATTAACGAAGTTATTTGGATTTTAAAATTTACATGTAATAATGTATAGTATATGAATGGAGGGATCATTCACGAAACGATTGGCAATCATTTCATAATTATAATCGCAGAGAAAGGGTCAGAGTTGAAGCTTTCAATTTGGCCTTCGCCGAGCTAAGGAAGTTACTACCGACTTTGCCACCGGACAAGAAACTCTCCAAGATAGAAATTCTGCGGCTTGCCATCTGTTACATCGCTTATCTCAATCATGTTCTCGAAGCATAGGGACGATATAATATCAAAGACGTCTCAAATTAAATTCATTTTTCGATTCAATTAAAAAAACTCGTTTTCGATGTTTTCACAAAGTTCATTTATTGAAAGAATGACAAAAAAGGAAGAAAGAAAAAAAATGGCTTAGGTTAAGGGTCAAGAGAATCAGGTCCCTAATAAAATTCGATTATTATATATATATAAATGATGGCGCTATGTGATAGTATTTCATCGAATTATCACATTCAATCGCTCAAAGCTATTCAGTAACGAGGATTAGCGTTCGACCAGAATCGGAAACTATTTCGGCTTTCCTAATCCCACGGGATCATGCTCTCTTCTCCCTTTTTAGCCACTCTCTCGTTGAGTAACGCTGTCCCTTTTACGCAGTGCGAACCTTTTCCTACATCTGTTCTCTAACGTAAGTGAAAAGAAATAGGATTATCGTGGAAGGCAACTTCACGCATCGTCGGACATCCATTTCGTTTTCGATTTCCGAATACTATCTCTCGTTCGTCGTTTTTTTTTTCTCGAATTCGTCCAGATCCTGACGTAATCTATCGATCATTAATCAATTCTAATTAATTTCAATTCAATTCAATTCAATTCGATTATAATCAAATAAATAGAATTGAACATAAATATATTCGCAAATGTATCTGATTCGATCATAATAAATTGTTTAAAAACGATTTGAAAAAGTTAAAAATTTTATAGGGTTTATTAATTCATTTATCTTTTTGTTATTTAATTAGTAACATTCGTGCGTTAGAGATTAGATGATATATACATATATATTTATATAAGTCTTGCGGAAGTGGGTAATTTGTACAAATAAATTTAGGCTTATTCGATAGCATGTATAAAACGGTGCAATGGTAGAAATATATATATATATATATATATATATATTTATATATATATATATATATATATATATATATATATATATATATATATATATATATATATATATATATAATATATATAAGGATGTAATATCTAAAAAATAAAATGAAAAAATATGTGCATTAATTTGCATTAAAAATAAATAATAATGAGATATAACATCATTGGCCCAACTGATAGAATAAAACAAATTGCAATAACAAAGAAAAAAAGATCCCTTTATCCCGAGTTAGTTTACATCCAACATCCCCTTATTGATCGTGAGACAATATAATCCTTATATATCGTTTTCTCTATAGAAGGAGGGAGACGCAAAGAGGAGTTTTTAAATTCATTTAGTTTATGTTTCGTAAATATTACAAGTGTCATAGATATTTACAATTGTATGTTTTTGTTTATAAAATGCACCGTCATCATTCTCCCTTATTGCGATTATTTGAATTAGAAGATTAAATAATAAGATAGGATCTTCCTTAGTATATGAAAATGTGATAACATTAATAAACACGAATAAAGTGTACGTTTAATATTGTCTTATATCTGTGTCAGTCACAGACACTTTTACAAGTTAACACATTATCATTACTATACTACCAAGTTCACTGAGTCGGAACATAACATAATTTATCGAAGAAACTAGAACGCATTAGAATATTATCCATCGAAGTCACTTGACCGTCGACTTGGTTCGTGTCGTCGTTATTACAAAGTATCCTATTTCTTCGTATATATAATTTATATCATTTTTATTCTTTATTAACTCTATTGTTGGAATCATCGGTCGGATAATTCGATAATTACAAGAGAATTAATTAAGAGAATTAGAAGACGGAAAGGGAGTAAAAAAGAATATCTCGAAAATGGATAAAACTTCTTCGAAGACCTTGAAGAATATTTTACGACCTTATCGAATTTTAAGTTACATCCTTGGAATACGTGTTTTAAAATTTCCTTCTGGATGGAAAAGTATCAAACTCAATGTGATTTACTCCATAGTTCTTTTCGTGTTCCATTCAATTAGTTGGCAATACATATCGCCTAAACAACGAATAATGGAATTAGATAACACTCAATTTTATATTATATTTCTCTTAAACAATTTCATAATCATTATTTCAATTATTATAGGCTTATTTAAAGATCAGGTAAATCTTACGATTGTTTATCATCTTTTTTTTTCTTTTTTCTTTTTTTTTTTTATAAATAAATTATAAGTAATCATGCTTATGAAATAATTCATAACAGTTATGGGAAAATTCGGTTAGAAGACTCGAAGAAATTGATAAGACTTTACAAGCACTTGGTTCCAATTCACGATTTCATAAGATTTATGTTAGAACGATGATAGAATTGATATTCTTTGTAATTTTTTTCGTCATTTTAATCTATTTTGATTATATTATGACCCTCAACGGTTCCGAAATTATGAAAATAATTTTTGTCCTGTCGATTGTTATTATACACGTATACGGTGAAATCGTTGCATCTACAGTAACTATGGATTTTTTGACAATGGTAAGGTACGTAATCAACGAATTTGTATGATTGTACCTGATTCATAGTTCGTTAACAAATAATTTTAATTTTTGCGAATTGGTAGATGTATTGAATCCGAACTTGAACGAGCAAGTGATCTTTTGAGTGATATTAACGTTCTACCATGTACTTCCATCGCAATGGAATTGATTAAATATAAAGGAACAAAAAAATCGCTTAAAAAGTTCATTAAAGTTCTACCATCGTCGCAAAGAATAAATTCACCTTTGGATGTTAGCAATCAGGAAATATTCAGAAGCAGACGATTGCTCCAAACTATTAGGTTCGTTCATTATTTGTTCCTTTGATAACAAATAAATAAATAAATTAATTAATCAACTAAATAATTAATGTGATAAATTTTATGATTATCTTAGGCAGATACATCTGGAACTCTACAAAGTGTCGAAAAATCTTAATGATCTTTATGGCATTCAAGTATTTATAATAACTTGTTTATACTTTTTTTACAACACATGCTTTTTTTATAGCACATACATTATTACTAAAAAGTTTGAATATACTCCAGACGTATTGTTTAAACAAATGGGTTCGGTACCTTATTTCTTCTTTAGTTCTTTATGCAAAGTGATTTTTGTTAGTTACACCTGCGACGATACAACTCAAAAGGTAAGTGTTTTGATAAGTAATATAATAATTGTAGAAACTATAAATCATTTTTTAGATGGAGAAAATCAATGAAATTGTTTATACATTTTATGCAGAAAATACAGATTATATAATACAACAAGAGGTTTGTCTTATTTTTTTTTTTATGCTATTATAGACAATTTTTTATAATCGATAATTTAAAGAAATAGAAATCCATTTTTTCTCGTAGGTGAAAATGTTCACTCTGCAAATGGCACATTGTCAATCGACGTATTCCACTTTTGGTTTATATTCATTCAATCGAAAGTACATATACTCGGTTAGTATAATAAATAAGTAAAAATAAGAATTTACATAAATTTCAACAATTTTATAAACCTCGTTGATTTTTTTCAGTGCATTGGGATGGTGATGACATATTTGACTATTATGATACAAATGTCTGATCCTGTGACAAAATGAAATTTAAATATCATATAAAAGTTGGTCACGATAATAAGAAAAGCCTAGTCGTCTTATTGATTTTCACAGAAGCATACTCAAAACACAGACTATACATACTAAAGTGATTAATTTCTTATTAATCTCTATACTACGATCTTGCAATACTACTTTTAATATAATATTTTTTGCAAGATGAATATAACAAAGTACATATATTAATCACATAATCGAATAGTTAATATGATTGATTATATGATCATATAGATAATATTTTTAATAGAATAAAATAAAGCTAATATAGAAATTCATTCTAATCATTTTTCATTGATCTATTATAGTGACCTTGATAAATACATATAACGTATAATATGCTTTTTGTACCTATAAAAATTCCTTGTCAATATTATTATCATTATTTTTTTTATGTTAAAGGTTCTTATTTTGTTTCTATTATATTATTCTTTTTAATATAATAGTGAGAATAAAATGTAATAGTGAGAAGTATTGAATATATTTTAGCTAAATTATAATATTGGATTCTTTATTGTTTCACCGTCTTAGACATTAATAGAAATTATTCAAAATAACGACAGATATCAACGAAATAGACAGCGTTATAGACTTAATGAATTTCACAACGTCATATTAGAGAAACTCATAGGCATTATCGTATTATTCTTCGAAGGTATCTCATTGGACATATCCTTCGTTCGTGTTTCATAAAATAAGAGAAAAAAATAGAGACTCATCTGCATTATTCAACTGCATTTACAAAAATACAAGTAAATGATTCACTAAAAAAGGATTATGAATAAATGCGGTCGTCATTCATTCTGTCAATTTTAGAAACTATACAAATATTATTATAAAAAATTACGACTAACTTCTTCTATTTAATAAAATGATAGAAAGGAAGAAATGTTTAAATTATTAGCGATAATAGTGATGAGAGTTAAAATCAATATAACATTTCGCATAATAAATAATTTTTTATTATTTTTCACTTGATAACGAAGTAAAGCGTATGTATATCGATGTATGTTTTATATTATAAGACAAGGACGAAGAAAATATTTTACATGATGGAAAAAGTAGGATGAGTTGGAAATTATTAGTTTTTTTTGCGAGTCATAATAATATCTATTATAAAAACACTCAAGTATAATAGGAAGAGAAATTGTTAATAGGAATTAGTTTCGCTCGTGAATTTCAGCAAAGAGTTGCTTGAAAATAAGAATAGAAGCTATAAAATTATATTAGGAGATGAAAAGTGTAAATATTAATAAAGAGAATTATAGGAACTTTTAAAATGTTTCGATCAAAAGAATTTCAACGTTCCGTCATGCCATTGATTATTGTTAATTCATTCCTTTGCACTGGCTTATTTGAATACTTCGTTGATCGAACGATTCATATAATTGGTTTTGTTTATGTCGTTTGTTATATTGTTTTATATAGTATCTCATTGTTTATGATAACGAATGTGATTGGTAAAATTACAAAAAATCATGGAACAGATTTGATGAGAATAATTAGTGAATTTCAATTTTTGAATAATGGTTTTATTTATATCATATCAATTTTCAGTGGTTTTATGAGAAGAAAGGTAGACATTTTTCATTTGTTAATAAGAGTTTCTTTAAGTAATTACTGTATTATTGATTGATTTTTATAGCGTATACAATTGTTCATAGAACGAATAGAAATTTGTACACGAGAAATGAATGAACTGAACGTTTCGGAAAATTATTCTTCACTTTTTCGATATCTATGTATCGCAAAAGTATTTTTAATTTCTATAATATCAGGTTTATGTGTGGCCGAAGTATTTTGGTTTTCTGAAACAGTTGTATTGTCAAACATAGATTATAGTACGATATTGCAGTTGTATTATACCGACCTTTGTCCTGTCATCGAAATGCTAATTAACGACCTTACATTTGTCTTTTGGATCAGGCAAGTCTGTTTTTATTTATTACAAAATAAGTCAACAATTATTAAACACTAACGAGTGACTTTAAGTAGATATATAAAGGTTAAGTTTGGTCAATTAAATACTGTATTACAAAGTATGCTGAGAACAACTATTGATTCACCACAACATAAAAGAGTTCTTCGAATGAAGGACAACTGGGAAGATGATTCTTCGTTATCTACTGTTTATGGAACTTACAAAACGAATGAAAATCTTATCAAATTAAAAAGAGTCAAGTAAGTCATTGTCAATTAGTCCTAAATGATTTATTATTCTTATCCGATTTTTAGAAATTTTCTATTATTTTTTTTTTATTCAAGACAAATCCATTTGGAATTAATGAAATGTGCCAGAATAATAAATGAGGCTTATGGATTACAAATTCTTATATCCATATTTACAACGACCCTTTTTATCACGACAATGACATACAATCTGTACGTTAACTTAAACAAAGGTGACAAGTGGATAATACAATTATATGTGTATTTAACTTGGATTTTTTATTTTGCCACGATGATTTCCGTAAAAGCGTATATATGTGAGACTGCAATTAAAGAAGTATGTTCTTTTCAACTATTTTTATTCTTTTTTTTTTGTTTAACAATTTATCTGATATTTACAAAATGTACAATCTTTTTTAAATTTAAGATGTGTAAATAACGTTTTCTTTTTATTTTTTATATATGCTGCGAATACTCGAGAGATTCTTTATGAATTATACGAACCTTCGACCAGCAGAAAATTTCGCGATCAAGTAGGAAATAATTGACGTCTGTTCTTGATATTGGAATATATACCAAATATATAAATCCTATCTGTTTCTTTCAGATTCGTGATTTTATGTTTCAATTAATCCAAAATCGTTTAAATTTTACCGTTTGCGGATTTTACGATCTAAATCATACGCTTATATACAGTGTAAGTTGAAAATACATATTTGATTCATTATTTTTTCAGTTTTTATGAATTTAATATATTTGTGTATATATATGTAGGTGATCGGTTCGATTACTACTTACCTCATCATATTTATTCAAGTTGGAGGTGAACCTAAAATATTTTACAATAATACGACTTATAATTCAATGTCGACGAAATAATGAATGATTTAGTATAGTTCTCCATTCGAAAATATATCGTAATAGACAATGTTTTATTCAAAAATATATTTTCTTTTATATCACGTATTTTTATCTTTTCTGTAAATCGATAAAAAGAAAAAGTGATAAAAATATCTAAGTATTTCATATTTTCCAATTTATTTTTATGTGATATGAAGCTAATATGAGTTTTATCGATTGGTTGCATGAGAAAAAAATATTTCTAAAATAAAATATTTCTAAATGAGGATAGATCAGAACAATATCAATTACGAATGTAATCAGATATGATGCGAGCAAAGTGCTGTGAGCCGTGGTAAGTGTCATATCAAAACTCAACAAAGAATGTTTTGCATTTTTTTCGTTTTTTCGTTTCAAAGAATTTTAAGTACTAAGTTTCCCGATCAGTGCGTTTGAAACAATTAGTTTTTTTTTTCGAGAAGAAATGAAGAATTCAAATTTTAAAAATGTCTCTATCGCCGAAATTTCGAAATTACATCAAACCGTTGATAACAATTAATTCAATTTCTTCCACTAATAAAATATTCCATCGATTTTAATAACAATATGATTGATATAGTTTATGCTTCCTTCTCTATCATTTTTCACGTTTAGATTTATCTATATTTATTTTTCACATTTATTTATGACAATACTCAACCATTCCTTATATAAATGACGCATCAGTTATACATTTACAATGGTTATATGTCCTATATCATTCCCATTATCGTTGGTGTTCTCAAAAGAAAGGTGAAGATTTTCATACTTGTAATTTATTTACCTTATTGGTATATTTATCTTATAACATTTTTCATTATCTTTTGCAGAAAATTAAAACTAAATATTCCGATGAATTTGTCTAAATGGTTTTGGCAACATTGTTATATAATGTTATTTTTTCTTTTCATATTAATAAATGTGATAGTAATTGATATGCAAACGTTACTATTCGGGTGAATAACTGGAAAACGTTTATCTGTACCGTTATCTCGTTATTATACAATTAATCATTGATTTCATTTTTATATTTTGGATGACACAAGATTTTTCAGACACAATTTTTCTGAAATTTCAGCGAAAGACTTAACGAAATAAATATTCATGTTGTATCTCATGTTATATCTCATTTCTTTACATGCGACGAACACCGGAGATATTCTCTACGAATTGAACGAACCGTCAATCAGTAGCGAATATTTATCAATACTTCCAGATTAGTGATTTAACTCTACAGTTTATTCAAAACCATCTGACCCTTACAAGCTGTGGTATTTTTGATCTCGATTACACATTGATACGTAATGTAAGTTCAAAGCAACATTTCTGTTACCAATTTTTAGATTTATATTAAAATTATAGAAAGCTAATATTTATTATTTTTCGATACCGTCGATACCGTCACAACTTATATCGTTATTCTCATTCACAGTGGGAATGTATCACAACAAGATTTAAATGAAAATTCGACGTCATCCACTAAAAATGATTGAGAAATTTAAGATCATTCTTAGAACTATATTATCCGTTTAAAACTATATTAAGGGTTGAAATATCTTAGTAATCTTTATAGCATTAAATATTTACAGTTATTCGTTTATACTTCTTTTCCAAATCATGTAATTTTTTTGTAGCACATGTATTTATAAAGTGTCAATGCAATATGGAAATTTGTATATACGAATTGGCTGAATTTGTTCAATTCTTTGTCACTACCATTGTCATAGCGATTTTTTTTTCGTTGCACTTCTAATAAGACAACTGAAGAAATAAGTTTTTCGATATGTACAATTATGGTCGAGCATAAGATAAATCATTTTTTAGTTTTCGAAGACAATGAAATCATTTACAATTTTTTCGCTGAAATTACGGAATATGCAATACAATAGGACCTTCTCAGCAATTTTTCTCTCCATTATTGATAATTTTTCCGTAAGTGAAAATGTTCACTCTGACATCGTCAATTCTCATATCCAACTTTCAGTTTATATTCATTAAATCGAAATAATATATACATTATTAATAGATAAAACAAGTAAATAATAAAATAAGCGTTATGCTAGCTCTCAATATATCTACGAAAATCTTGGATAATTTTCAAAATATTGGAATGATGTTAAATTATTAGATTTATACAAAAATCTTAGTCGGTGTTAATAAAATTAATTTGCACATTAACATCTTGTAAAAGTTAAACAGATCGATTAGGAAAGATCAGACGTATTAATAGTTTTCCTACAGAAGAACTTAAAGTAAGGCAATAAATGCAATTTAATCGTTCATCAATGTCCCGTTGTGGCGATTTTGATCAACACGTTCAACATAATTTTTTTTATAAATAAAAAGTTTCGTTTTCAGTACTGTTACTCTCGTTTTATTATCATGTTCAATTTTGTTATTTTATTTTTTCTTTATTTTATTAATGCAGATAATAAATAATATAGCAATAAAAGTTATTAAGTTTTCTTCAGCTAGTTGATGATACTTGACCTTTTATGCTTTCACCATCTTAGACATTGGTATGAATTATTCAAGATAAAGAGATATATCAATAAAATAGACAACGTTATCGACTTAATGAGTTTTACAGCGTCATACTCGAGAAATATATACGTATACGCATTAACATAATATCCTTCGAAGGCATCTCATCGGAGATATCCTTCGTTCGTGTTTTATAAAATAAGAGAAAAAAAGAGATATGAAAAGGATAAAGAATTCGATCTTTTCAAAGTAATTTATCCATTATCCAAACAAACTTGTTTCTATCGTTGACGATTATAAAGAAGACAACAAAGTTGAAAAAATGAGAAATTTAATTGAGAGAATTATAAAAAAAATGAAAATTCGAAGTATCTTCAAAAATTACAAAGCACCATCGAGAAGTATGGATGATGTTTTACGGCCAATCTATATTCTAAGCAATATCTTTGGATTGCGTGTTTTCGGATTTCCACGAGGTCATTCAAGACCAATACTTAGTTTCCTTTATTCTATTTCACTTTATTGTCTGTATTCTGCCAGTTGGTTTTATTATAAAAGATGGAATATGAACGTTAAATTATTTAAATTAGATAGAACTATATCTTATTATCCAATTATTAGTAATCAAATGGTGATATTGGTGATACTTCTGATGGGATTATATCACAGCAAGGTGAGTTTAAGAATTTTTTACGATATATTAATATTAACAATTTTACTCTATAATATTTGTTAGTAATTTTAATGAATTGAATGATAAATAGGCGATGAAATTATGTACAAAACGGATAAATAAGATCGACAAAACGCTTCAAGATTTAGGCTCGTCGGCATCATTCAGCAACATTTACAAAAGAACGATTATTGACTTAGTAATCGTTATTATTTACATGGTTTTTTTCATGTTGATAATTATTCTAAAAAAGCTTTCAACAGATCAAATGAATTATAAATTGTGCATAATATTTTACTTTTCCTTACATATATATTCTTTCATGATCGAATTTTTATTGGTCTTCGAATTTCTTACCTTTATAAGGTACGTAATGATTTTAAATTTCATTCATTATTATTGTTATAAATTGGATATATTTGAAATACTTAGATTCATCAAATCGGAATTTCAACGAGCGAACGAACTTCTTAGCGACGTCAGCGTGCTATCTGTTTCTTCTATTGCTTCAGAATTACGTGAATACAGAGAAGTTGATGGTTCTTTTTCTATAGAACGATCTCTCTCTGTCTATACGAAAAACTTATTTATCGTTGCACTTTCATTAAGACAAAGGCAGTTGCAATTACAAATTTCGAGTAACAAAATAAATAGAAGTAGAACGTTGTTACGAACTATCAGGTGAGTCGAAAGTATAAAGTATTCTTTATAATATACGTGAAAGTTTAATATTCACAGACAGGTTCATCTGGAGTTATATAAAGTATCCAAAAATCTTAGTAATATGTACGGCATACAGATATCTCTAGAAATTGCGATATGTATTTTTCTATATACATACGTGTTATACTGTTTTTATGTGGTGTACGAGAAAGAAACATACAAAATAACTTTTCAATTCATTCTAACAATTTTGTGTTGTTTACAATATAGTACGAAGATCTTTATTGTCAATTATATCTGTGAGAAAACAACGAAAGAGGTATGAGAGAAGATTGATTCAGTATTCAATTTTATATGACTATTTTCTGTTTTCTCTAGGCTGAACGCACCAGCGAAATTATTTACACATTTTATGGTAACAATAAAGATATCGAGATACAAAGAGAGGTTAATATTTATACGGAATACCTTAAAAATTTATTTGAGTTAATATGGTTTTCTTTATAGGTGGAAATATTTTCTTTGCAAATGATGCAATGTCGTAATTTATATTCCGCATTCGGTTTATATAATCTTAATTGCAAACACATTTGTTCGGTTGGTACATTTATTTACGATAATTGCATTGTAAAAAGAAAAAGAATAATAAAATATCTAATAATCTTTTTTATTCTTCAGTGTATTGGAATTATAACGACATATATAGTTATAATCATACAAGTAACCGATGCTATAAAAGAAAGATCATAAATTACTGCGATGATTCTTCTGTCGATTTTACAAACTATACAAGTGTTATTATATAATATTCTTATAAAACTTCCTATATGTAATAAAATTTGTTAAGGAGATTAAATGTTTTAATTCGTTTGATACTTTAATAATGAAGGCGGTTAAGGTCAATATAACGTTTCGCTTTATAAATAATTTTTTATTGATTTTCACTTGATAAAGAGCCAATGCGTAAGTATATCGATGAATGTTTCTCATTAAAAGACAAGGACGAAGAAAATATTTAACAGGATGGAAGAAGTAGGATGAGTTGGAAACTATTAGTTTTTATTGAAAGGCATAATGATATCTATTATGAAAACACTTAAGTATAATAGGAAGAGAAATTGCTAATAGGAATTAGTATCGCTCGCGAATTTCAGCGAAGAGTTGCTTGAAAATAAGAATA